TCGAGGTCAGTAAGCACAACCAGAATTCATACATAAGGCACACTCGATTTTTGAGAAAATTAAAGGATTTTAAGTGTGCCTTATAGTGTGGAAAATATGTTATACAGAAGAAAATAATACATCGCGATATATATTGTTACCCCACGTGCTTCAAATTATATCGCAATATGGATTTTAGGCCATATCGCCCATCCCTACTTCAGTGCAAGGAAGAAAGACCTGCACTGGATCGCTGGCTTTAAGCGTGACTCATCTTGAATTTGAAAAAGACACCAGATGAATCCAGGCTGAATGAGCTTACAGCGCTTTCATGTGATGTCAGGAAAATGAATCCCTGACTGGAGATATTCACGTGTCGGAGAAACCTCAGGCTCTTTAGACAGAAACACAGTGAACATGACGGCAGAAACTCTTGGTGCAAATTCATGATTGGCAGGAGATTTGGTGCAGCGTCTGCATTACTGCGGATGGTGCCTGGGCTCCGGCTCGGAGAGGGGATGAGGAGCTTGGTCATTTGCGAGGAGCTCAGAATCAAGCTGACATCGTAAGGAGCCAGCTGAGGTGGTTCGGACATTTGATTAGGACGCCTCCTAGGTGAAGCGTTTTGGGCATGTCCAACAGTGAGATAGCCCTCTAATATGCTGTTAGCCTGTAACCATTAGTTACCATCTATGCAGGCTGGGCTAGATTAGTGAAAGAGGTTATTTATGTGTTGTTCTGCTTTGGGCCATGAGAGGATGGACGCGAGACTCCTTGTGGACATCCTTCAATAGTTTGCATCTTCAAGGACCAGCCCGAAAAACAGTGAACCAACCACACACCTGCAGGCGAACTCCAGCCAGTTTTTAAAAGAATCATGTGGAATGAATATTTATCGGCAGTGTCCACAGCAAGTTTGATCCTGGTTTTAAAAAGCATCACTGAAGGACAGTCCTCCTCTGGAAATGGATCAGCCCACTGACAGTAATAAATAATAAACTCAATCCAGCAATCACAAAGTTTTTCAGCTTTGTCCATGTTGAGCACTGGGATAATTTGACAACTCAAAAACAAATGAATGAACACAGGCCCACTAACAGCTCAACTAACAGTTTCTTTGTACTTACATACGCGTTGGCATACTCGATTTTGGTTCCCTTCAGTTCAGCTTTGAACTGAGTGAAAAACAGGTACGACTTCCCCTGAGGCCTGGCGGGAATGAAAAGGAAATATTTGCTGTCAGTGTTACGCGTTTGCATAAATTCATTTCAATCAGAGGTTAGACGTTTGCTGTGTTGTTTCTCCTTCTAGTCTCTACCGCCACTGCCACGATTAAGCAAAATCAATAAGGTGACTCAGCAGACGCACACATTAGCGGTGCTCTTAACATCGGGGTCACCGAACTGAAGAAGAGTACCTCCGCGGGCTGCTCATTGGCCTGTGAGTGTTGACCTAAATCTGGTTACACAATCACAACATGGGGGCCGACTTCCTTATGGGGACATTTTAGGGTGAAGGCAGGCTTTAAGGTTAAGGTGAGGTAAGCAGTAGTTGTGCAGCCTCCATTAAGCCAATGCAAGTCAGTGCAGCGTCCTCTAAAATCTGTGTGTCTCACCTCCACACAGAGCAGGAGAACAGTCTGTTGTCATCAGTCAGGCCCACACTCATCAGCCATTGCTGCGTTACAGAAAACAGGGACAATATTTTAGCATAAAGACCGCAGTAATCAGTGATGTGAGGCTGGAGACGCACAGTGAGAGAGAGGGAGGCGCTCACCTCGTTGGTTCCTCCTTGGGAGGCGTACGTGAAAGAGCATTCATACTCCCCCTGCAGAAGGAGAATGAAACCAGGTGTTAGTGCCGTGTTTTGGATTTACCTACAAAACTTTCCTGTAAAACAAGAAACTCTTTGTTCCACTGATCTCACTCAGGTTTCAGTTTAACCTTACATAGAAATAAAGACAGAATATGGTTGCATATACACTCACATCCTTTCCAGTAATACCCTGAACACTAACACTTGCACTCTGTGCATCGGAGGTTAGCGAGGGTGGTCTCTGCCAAACAGCTCCCCTTAGAAAAGCCCAGAAATGATTTCTTTATTTTGTACTGAGGTCTCAAAACGTTTCTTAATGCTAGAGCGTGTCAGATGGTGTTTATGGGGGAAAGAGTTGAGCCATAAGAAATTACCGCTGGTCTTTTGGTTTTGGATGTTTCTTTTGCTTGTTGATCATCATTTAAAAGAACGCCGTTTAAAGTCTGGTCTACGTGACCTGGTACAGATGTTTAGAATTAGCCTGGGTACTGCTAAAAAACAATTTCTCTCTATTCAGATTT